AACCCAATAGAACATCTTTGGAGGGAGCTGAAAGTCCGTATTGCCCAGCGACAACCCCGAAACCTGAAGGATCTGGAGAAGGTCTGTATGGAGGAGTGGGCCAAAATCCCTGCTGCAGTGTGTGCAAACCTTGTCAAGACCTACAGGAAACGTATGATCTCTGTAATTGCAAACAAAGGTTTCTGTACCAAATATTAAGTTCTGCTTTTCTGATGTATCAAATACTTATGTCATGCAATAAAATGCAAATTAATTACTTAAAAATCATACAATGTGATTTTCTGAATTTTTGTTTTAGATTCTGTCTCTCACAGTTGAAGTGTACCTATGATAAAAATTACAGACCTCTACATGCTTTGTAAGTAGGAAAACCTGCAAAATCGGCAGTGTATCAAATACTTGTTCTCCCCACTGTATTTGTATAGTTCAGGCAGTGTTTGTTGATCTGAAACTAGGCCAGATGATCTAATCTGCAACATTAATGCCATGGCATGGTCCAAACACAAAACATTCTGAAAGCCCAGACATGATTCTAAGTACCCATTTGACAATTCTTACACAGGACATTACTATTTTGGGGAATGTCTCTACACTGAATGTTGATCTCTTAGCTATGGCAGAGCTTTGTTTTGAGTAGCAGTGTTCATCCAATACTTATCTAATTTTCTCTCTAGTAGTTAGCTAAAGATAATTGATTCATATTCCTTAGAGAATTGAGGAGGCAATTCCTTTTTTCCTCACTCTTTTTCAGGCAAATTGGCTGTCAAGAGGCCCTTAATTCCCTCTACACGATCTCATGATGAAATGGTGAATGTGGGCCAGTTTCTGTCAGTAGGTATATGAGTAGAATGTCTCCGTTTCATGAGGACCAAGTCTTGCAGGGAACAGGAATCCCCTCACCCTGACCATTGTTCCCCCTCCTTTCTCCCTCTCTCTCCGCATCACTTAATTCATCCTCTCTCTCGGTCTCCCTCTCCCCTTTACTGTCCTACTGTCGCTGTCTGTTGTTATGTAGCTGTGGTCGTGCTGGTGTTTTCCATCTGCTGGGCGCCTTTCCACATCGACCGGCTCCTGTGGAGCTGCATCATGCAGTGGTCTGTCTGGACAGACCTCAACCAAACTGTGTAACAGTGTGTGCACCTCCGTTCCGGCATCCTCTTCTACCTCAGCCCTGTTATCTACAACATGCTCTCCACACGCTTCCGGGAATGCTTCTGGGATCTTATCTGCACCCATACGAAAGACACCACCTCTAGAAAAGACTCCCCAACCTTCGCCAAAATCCTGCTGTTCCCTCTGGCCCAGTTCCTAATTCCCAGGCCAGGCCCAGGGACCATAACTCCCTCACTCCCCTGTTATCTCCAATTGGGACTGGGAGCACAGAGATCACAACACTGACATGTGAACATTCCTGTGTGGTAGACTCTGATTTCACTGCTACTGCTTTTTAATCATATTTACTATTTAATGTGGTAGTAGATATGATACCCTCTGTCAGGCAGTGGATTTGACTAATGAGCAGATGATGCATTGTGCACAGCTGGATGATCATTATTTGTGGACTCAATTGTGATCTGTTATTGAAGCAACATAAATCGTCATAGCAGACAAATTTCTCCGAAATTATCTGATTTTGGGGTATGTAAATGAGAGACTTGGTTGCACTTGATAATTCACTCTCTAATGATTGATTATCCCATATGATTGGTATTCTCCTATTGACCTGTGTGATATATGGACTATGTGAATTGCAGTTACAGTATTTATCGTCCTTGTGTTTCATAACCACCTATTCCAACCCCTAATTTATTGAGTGTATGTCAAAACTTCCCCATTTCTCCTTGTCAAAGACTTTGAATGTACGTATGTAGCACTGCTGTCCTTTGACCTAGACATTGTATGTAAAAATACTGTAAATCAATGAATAATTATTGCCTTTCTGTGAAAACAGCAAAACATTGATGAGTATTTCATTAATTGTTTAAAATGTCTGCAACAGAATGTGTATTACGATGAGAATGTATCGTATGAGTCTCTTGGAGACCCTAACAACAACAACAACAACAACAAAAACAACAGGTAGTCTGTTAGATCATCAATGTGTAAGTGGCAGTAGTATAATGGGAACCATGATGAGTCTTCTACCAATGTTGACCCTGATTTCACAGCAAGTTGTCGCCCCACACCTGGGCCAAGACTGTGTTCTTGTAGAGTGTCAATAATGCAGAGAATCCATCATAAGAGACAATTACAGCACCTAGAACGTTTGATTAAAGATTCCTGGAAGCCTCCAGGTAGCCTCTATGGATTCATTGTTATTCTGTACTAAACAAATTAGCTTTGCCTGCCACATAAAATTCACTGGAGGATAATGAATGCCATTTTCTGTCTTGTGTATACAACAACATATTGAATAGCTCCATCCCTGGTGTGTGCTAACATTGTGTTCTCCAACTGGATATTGAACTCCATTTGAAGAACCCCTTTTGGTTCCAGGCAGAACCCTTTTGGTTCCAGGTAGAACCCTTTTGGGTTCCATGTAGAACCCTTTACACAGAGTTTTCTACATGGAACCCAAAAGGGTTCTACCTGGAACCAAAAAGGGTTCTCCTATGGGGACAGCCGCAGAACCCTTTTGGAACCCTTTTTTCTAAGAGTGTAGGATCCAACTCTTATTCTAAATGCAATCCTTGCCACCAAACTGCACCTGAGGCCTGGAGAATGACCTTTCATTTTCATTATGGGTTTCAATTTCACTAAAGTGTTTGGCTAGACCCATTTGAAAATGATCTGTTTCCCCTCCTACGTAGTATTACATTAAAAAATCTAGCTGCCAAACCAGAGGGCCACATTAGGTTATTATTTTGGAATCAGTTTATGAGCTACTGAATTGGGATGATAAAGTACACAGTCATTCCTGGAACTATACCACTATGTCCCCAATCCCCCTTTTAAGCCCATATTTTGCTTAAAAGGTTGGACTGCCAAAAGCTTTTTGGTCTGTTCTCACATACAGTATACTGAACAGTATGGCTACAGACACTGTAAAAGGTATTCATGCCAAAACCCAACATGGTCTCTATTTAAAAAATAGTTTATTTTTGTTTGGTATGAACACATCTTACGGATTTTTCGTAGGTCAAAAATTATCAGGAGATAATTTGATAACAAACTAAAATATATCCATATTTTACTGCAGTAGGAATGTGCAACAAAACATGAACATCCATCCACATGCAAATGACAGTGTTACAATTGAAGTGTGTTGATTGATGCCAGCATACAATATATCCATGCAGTTTTTTTGTTACAAATGCAATGTAAGGATAGAACAAGCTGACAAATATAAGAGTACGGTAACAATGTGCATAGTACAGGAAATACTGTGCCACAATACAGTAAATGTGTACAGATGTAGGATCTTAATTTGATCACTCTTTTGTTGAAAAGAAACTTGTTATGTATTCAAGGTTTAAAAAAGCAGAAGTTTGTAATTTACACTTTAAAATGTCAGACTTGATTTGCCCTAATGAAAAATATATAAAACCCTACACATTTTATTTATTTTTACTAGGCAAGTCAGTTAAGAACAAATTCTTATTTACAATGACGGCCTACACCGGCCAAACCCAGATGACGCTGGGCCAATTGTGCGCCGCCCTATGGGACTCCCAATCACGTCCGGAATCGAACCAGGGGGTCTGTAGCGACGCCTCAAGCACTGAGATGCAGTGCCTTAGACCGCTGCGCCACTCGGGAGCCCACATTTTGTCCTCCATTAAAAATAATCCACATAATAATTAAATTCAGTTATTTTCCTGCTGTAGCAAACTGGCTCAAATTAAGATACTACATCTGAACTGTATAATACACAATATATACAAAGTATGTGGACACCCCTTCAAATTGTTGGATTCAGCCTTTTTAGCCACATTCCGTTGCTGACAGGTGAATAAAATTGAGCACACAGCCATGCAATCTCCATAGACACACATTGGCAGTAGAATGGCCTTACTGAGGAGCTTAGTGACTTTCAACGTGGCACCGTCATATGATGCCACCTTTCCAACAAGTCAGTTCATCAAATGTCTGCCCTGCTAGAGCTGCCCTGGTCAACTGTAAGTACTGAAGTGGAAACGTCTAGGAGCAACAACTGCTCAGCCACGAAGTGGTAAGCCACCCAAGCTCACAGAACGGGACCGCCGAGTGCTGAAGCACATAGCACGTAAAAATTGTCTGTCCTCATTTGCAACACTCACTACAGAGTTCCAAACTGCCTCTGGAAGCAACGTCAGCACAATAACTGTTCGTCGGGAGCTTCATGAAATGGGTTTCCATGGCTGAGCAGCCGCACACAAGCCTAAGATCACCATGCGCAATGCCAAGCGTTGGCTGAAGTGGTGTAAAGCTTACCACCATTGGGCTCTGGAGCAGTGGAAACGCGTTTTCTGAAGTGATGAATCACGCATCACCATCTGGCAGTCCGACGGACAAATCTGGATTTGGCGGATGCCAGGAGAATGCTACCTGCCCCAATGCATAGTACCAACAATAAAGTTTGGTGGAGGAGGAATTATGGTCTGGGATTGTTTTTCATGGTTCAGGCCCCCTAGTTCCAGTGAAGGGAAATCTTAACGCTACAGCATACAGTGACATTCTAGACGATTCTGTGCTTTCAACTTTGTGGCAACAGTTTGGGGAAGGCCCTTTCCTGTATCAGCATGACAATGCCCCCGTGCACAAAGCAAGGTCCATACAGAAATGGTTTGTCGAGATCGGTGTGGAAGAACTTGACTGGCCTACACAGAGCCCTGACCTCAACCCTATCGAACGCCTTTGGGATGAATTGGAATGCCGACTGCGAGCTAGGCCTAATCGCCAAACATCAGTGCTCAACCTCACTAATGCTCTTGTGGCTGAGCAATCCCCGGAGCAATGTTCCAACATCTGTTGGAAAGCCTTCCCAGAAGAGTGGAGGCTGTTATAGCAGCAAAGAGGGGACCAACTCCATATTAATGCCCATGCTTTTGGAATGAGAACTTCGACGAGCAGGTGTCCACATACCTTTGGTAATGTAGTGTATGTTTAAGGTCAGGTTAGCAACTGTATAAAAAGGATTAATATTTACAATGCCATTATTTGACACAGAAATCAAAAACGTTCTGTACAAGAGTTAACATCAATGGATAAATTAAACTATTTTTTTCTGTCTGTGTACCTTCTTTTGCAATTCATCATGGTACTGTCTACTCACTGTCCGCCAGCAATGTTTTCTTTCAATTCAGATTATCCCTATTACATATAGGCTACAGACCCAAAAAGGACCTTCATCCAGCATGTACATGTGCCTTTCTGTTGTATGAGTTCAGTTAGTTCGAGAAAGTCGGCCTACGGGCTATCCGGATCACATTGTATGTATTCAGTCCTGGTGCATCGAAGCCAGGGGACAGACCACGCTTGTCAAACACATAAAAGTTAAAGAGTTGCCCGTCTTGGGCCTCGAGGGAGACCGAGGCGGTGCTTACCCGCAAAACACAGGGGTACTCCTTCTCAAACACCACCCTGAACACCCTGTCCACCAGGTAGTTCAGCTTGATTGTCCGATATCTCTCTGGGATCAGGTCCTCAATCTGGGGACCAAACTGCTGCATGATCAGAACACCGTCTGCCCCAGCTTTGATCTCATAGAAGGTGATGTTTCCATAAGTGAAGAAGCCTATGTATGGGTCTGGATTAGGGGGAGGGATGAGGATCTTTTTGGCCTCCCGGAACACCCTCTCCATGGCGGGTATGATGTGGCTGTATGCCTTGGCCACCACCTCCTGCTTCTGAGGTCTGGTGCCAGCCATCAGCACCACTAGGCCCAGCTTGAGCCTGGGTACCAGTGAGAAGGTGGCTGAGTAGCCATCCAGGTCTCCGTCTTTACGCAGCACCTCGTAGCCCAGCTGCTCGTTCACCTCCCAAGGAGTGCCGGTGCGGTTGGCAAAGTAGTCCTTATCACAGCGGAACAGAGGGGTCAGCATGATCTTCAGGGTGTCGGGCTCCAGGAGCTTGCGGTGGTAGGCCCCCAGCAGCATCATGGCCAGCTTGGCAAGGTCAGCGGCAGTGGAGAACATCTGGCCTGAGGGGCGGTACCAGCCCAGGTCATACAGAGGGGCTGGCTGGCCACTGGAGTAGACGCCCACAGCCATCTGGCTTTGGATCCCTGGGGTGATGTCGAAGCCTGTGTCCTCCATCCCCAGCCGGTCCAGGATGTTATCATTGATCCAGTGCTGGTAGTCCAGGCCCACCACCTTCTCAGCCATGACGTGGGCCAGTAAGGAGAAGGCTAGGTTACTGTAGTGGCATCTGCAAAACACAGAGCAGCAGAGTGGGAAGTCATTCTGATAGAGCAGACTGAAGGGCCAATACAGCCCACAGGGGTGACGGAATTAAACATCTGAGCCATCTATTTACATCCAAATAAGTGTAGCAAATAGGTTCCATTATATTACACATAGCAAATATTGACTGAATTTTAAATGGCACAAGGACACACAGAACATTTGAATGATTATAATGATGGGAATGATGGGAATGACTAAGGTCTTACTTGGTGCCAGGGTCTGCAACGAGGATATCGTCTTGCAGCAGATTCACTGCAGCCTGTGTTTTCCCCTTCCACAGCAGGTTAGTGGCTCTTAGTCTTCTGGGTAGACCTGCAGTTGACAAAACACAACATCTTTAGTGTTTATGTCTAAAGAAAAGAAAATGCATTAATTTAGCTAGTATGACAAATGAAGCTCAAGCCAATTGCAATTAATTTTAACCGAAACAGGGTCCTCAACTGTTATTCTAACATATCTGTTTTGAGTGTCTCTGATCATTTAATTTAATGTACAGCTCAGAAATCAGTGTCAATGTCTGATCTGAAACATGAAATACTCTCAATGAATGAATTGAGTTCAACCTTCATGCCTCAATGATCAAAATGTGATCCTCATATAGACATAATCAAATCAAACCTGTTTGAAAGCAAGGTATTGTAGGGTGCCATATTGAAGTAACAGGTTTGGATGCTAATAATAGATGCAGTGATAATCTAAACAGTTTCTGTTACATCAGAAGTGTTTACCACTTCAGAAGGCAATTCAGCAACCTGCTTAGAGGTGGCTCTGACTAGAGTTTGGGGTATGGTGGCATTTTAATTTAATCAATAAATAGGATCATAAACATCACATTAAAATGGCTATTTTGCTCATAATAACATGACACTGTTCAACATTGTAGCTGAGTACATTCGGCACATAACTGGTTCCCCCTGATAGTTGTTTAATGGGTCGGCATGACCTGAGGTCCAATCCCAGGTGGGAGGGGCGGGGTATGAGGTTTGTATCTTACCTGAGAGCTGGCTGGCCATCCTGCGCAGAGTGACAGAGGAGGAGCGGATCTGAACCTCTCCACTATCTAGGAAGATCAGGCCATCTGTCACGTACTTGAGCTCAGAGTCCCGTGACTTGCCCAGAGGGTTTTTAATGGTGAAGTTATCCACATATTTCTCCAGAGGGTCATCCAGAGAGGTAATCTTCCCATCGTCCCACAGCCTGTACAGCATAAGCGTTGGGAAGATCTTGGAAAGGCTGGCAATCCTGTAGGGCACGAATCAAACAGGAATTGACTACCACTGTATCCCCCTGATTCCTGCAAAGAACTCAAAAAAAAAAAATTACAACAAACATTAAGACAAGCATGCACAAATGAATAGAGTACTATTCTTCCTTTCAGAGGATGAACTTACTCTAACATCCTTTCATTTTCACATGCACTCTCCAAACCTTTCTACACTCAGGCTTTTGACCTCACAATGTTTTCTCTGCCTCATACCCCATATATTTCTGCCTCACACCCCAGACATTGAGGGGTTTGGAGTTTGAAATTACAACATCATGCTATATATCTATTTAAGGGCTATGCTGACAACACTCAAGACGGATGAAAACATAATGACTGAATAGCCCATACATAGTTAAAGACATAGGTCAGTATTCAATAAAGGCGCATTGCCGACAATAATTTACACTTGAACCGAAATACAGTGGCTTGCGAAAGTATTCACCCCCCTTGGCATTTTTTCCTATTTTGTTGCCTTACAACCTGGAATTAAAATATATTTTTTGGGGGGGGTTGTATCATTTCATTTACACAACATGCCTACCACTCTGAAGATGCAAAAAAAATTTTGTGTGTGAAACAAACATGAAATAAGTAAAAAAAAAAAAAAAAAACTTGAGCGTGCATAACTATTCACCCCCCCAAAGTCAATACTTTGTAGAGCCACCTTTTGCAGCAATTACAGCTGCAAGTCTCTTGGGGTATGTCTCTATAAGATTGGCACATCTAGCCACTGGGATTTTTGCCCATTCTTCAAGGCAAAACTGCTCCAGCTCCTTCAAGTTGGATGGGTTACGCTGGTGTACAGCAATCTTTAAGTCATACCACAGATTCTCAATTGGATTGAGGTCTGGGCTTTGACTAGGCCATTCCAAGACATTTAAATGTTTCTCCTTAAACCACTCAAGTGTTGCTTTAGCAGTATGCTTAGGGTCATTGTCCTGCTGGAAGATTAACCTCAGTCCCAGTCTCAAATCTCTGGAAGACTGAAACAGGTTTCCCTCAAGAATTTCCCTGTATTTAGCGCCATCATTCCTTCAAGACTGACCAGTTTCCCAGTCCCTGCCGATGAAAAACATGGATGGTGTTCTCGGGGTGATGAGAGGTGTTGGGTTTGCGCCAGACATAGCGTTTCCCTTGATGGCCAAAAAGCTCAATTTTAGTCTCATCTGACCAGAGTACCTTCTTCCATATGTTTGGGGAGTCTCCCACATGCCTTTTGTTTGTTTAAGCAATGGCTTTTTTCTGGCCACTCTTTCGTAAAGCCCAGCTCTGAGGAGTGTACGGCTTAAAGTGGTCCTATGGACAGATACTCCAATCTCTGCTGTGGAGCTTTGCAGCTCCTTCAGGGTTATCTTTGCTCTCTTTGTTGCCTCTCTGATTAATGCCCTCCTTGCCTGGTCCGTGAGTTTTGGTGGGCGGCCCTCTCTTGGCAGGTTTGTTGTGGTGCCATTTCTTTCAATTTTTTTATAATGGATTTAATGATGCTCTGTGGGATGTTCAAAGTTTCGGATATTTTTTTATAACCCTGATCTGTACTTCTCCACAACTTTGTCCCTGACCTGTTTGGAGAGCTCCTTGGTCTTCATGGTGCCGCTTGCTTGGTGGTGCCCCTTGCTTAGTGGTGTTGCAGACTCTGGGGCCTTTCAGAACAGGTGTATATATACTGAGATCATGTGACAGATCATGTGACACTTAGATTGCACACAGGTGGACTTTATTTAACTAATGATGTGACTTCTGAAGGTAATTGGTTGCACCAGATCTTATTTAGGGGCTTCATAGCAAAGGGGGTGAATACATATGCACGCACCACTTTTCCATTATTAGTTTTTTATAATTTTTTGAAACAAGTTAATTTTAATTCCACTTCACCAATTTGGACTATTTTGTGTATGTCCATTACATGAAATCCAAATAAAAATCAATTTAAATTACAGGTTGTAATGCAACAAAATAGGAAAAACGCCAAGGGGGATGAATACTTTTGCAAGGCACTGTACACACAGTTTACTGTGAATATGATCTCCACAAACACCAGTAAATTGCCTTTGAATTGTCGATTGTGCAATGGGCTTGTCAACAACACTCTTCTGATTGAATCCTGGCAGCACATTTTCAAGCCAATTTCAGCTCACAACATACCACAATTCAGAAAAATTACAGCAGTGTTCACATGACACTTCAAGTCCACTATAAGCGTTGCATTGCTTTGCCTGCAGCATCTTGTCAATGTGATGTTCTACCTGCTACACAGAGTGTGTTGTTTTGAGAGAGGAGGAGAAGAGGGGAAGAGCATCTTTGTTCTATTTTTCCTGCTGTACTGTACCATATTAATCAATTGTATGTAAGTACAATAGCTTTGGTCCAGTGTTTCGCAAGTACTCTTAAATTGTTGCTAGTGGTTGTCCTAAATGATCCTCTAATTACACGTTGCTTTTGTTTACATTGTGAACATAGTCAATGCAGCTAGCTAGAGTTTCTGCTAGCTAGTAGCTTCTTGACTTCATATATCTTAGTAAAATAGCCAGCGGTGTCTAGTGGAGGGCATATGCAACCAAAATAAATGTTATTTCTCTTTATTTCAATTCACAAGATAGAATGAATGCGCTCGTCAGCCGTAAAAAATGTAACCTCTGCGATTCTTGAGCTTGGACACTGCCTTTGGACGTGACGCAACGCGAGCGCAACATGGGCAGTATAGCAGCTTTCAATGATTTCAAATGAAGCATTCCCTCAACGGCTGATGTCTGACGGCAACGCCAGATGCCCGATAGCTGTAGTGTAGCAGGGCCGTAAGTGTAGCCTTCACTCTTATTTGTATTCGATAGCAACACCTCCAACCCTCCATAGATTTTTAAAGTGTACACCCCCTAAATCACAGGAGTTGGTCAGGAAGCAGACTTCTTACCTTTGATTTGTGAATAGAGGACGCAAGCAATAAGAAATATGAATTAATATGTAAAACATTTGTCATATTTTTGTATTATGGATCACCATTCCTGGGGTCCAGCAAAAATTAAGGCAATAATATACATTATAATAAAACATTTAAACATTAAAATACATTTTACAACAGATTTCACAATACATTAAGTGTGTGCCCTCCGGCCACTACTCTAAACAATCCGGTTGTACATGTGTGTATGTTATGTATGTTTGTATTTGTGTGTTTGTACCTGTGTGTGTGACTCTTCACAGTCCTTGCTGTTCCATAAGGTGTATTTTTATCTGTTTTTAAAAATCTGATTTCACTGCTTGCGTGAGTTACTTGATGTGGAATAGAATTCCATGTAGCCATGGCTCTATGTAGTACTGTACGCCTCCCATTGTCTGTTCTGGACTTGAGGACTGTGAAGAGACCTCTGGTGGCATGTCTTGTGGGGTATGCATGGGTGTCCGAGCTGTGTGCTAGTAGTTTAAACAGACAGCTTGGTGCATTCAACATGTCAATACTTCTTACAAAAAGTCAATCTCTCCTCTACTTTGAGCCATGAGAGACTGAAATGCATATTATTAATTTTAGCTCTACGTGTACATTTAAGTGCCAGCCATGCTGCCATGTTCTGGGACAGTTGTAATTTTCCTAAGTACCTATTTTTGGCACCTGACCACACGACTGGGCAGTAGTCCAGGTGTTGATATTGTTGTTAAGAAGGCAGAGCAGTGCTTTATTATGGACAGACCTCTCGCCATTTTAGCTACTGTTGCATTAATATGTTTTGACCATGACAGTTTACAATCCAGGGTTACCCCAAGCAGTTTAGTCTTCAACTTGCTCAATTACCACATTATTAATTACAAGATTTAGTTGAGGTTTAGGGTTTAGTGAATTATTTGTCCCAAATACAATGCTTTTAGTTTTTGAAATATTTTTACTAACTTATTTCTTGCCACTCATTCTGAAACTGACTGTAGCTCTTTGTCAAGTGTTGTAGTGATTTCACTCACTGTAGTAGCTGACGTGTATAGTGTTGAGTCATCCGCATACATAGACACACAGGCTTTACTCAGAGCCAGTAGCAGGTCATTATTAAAGATTGAAAAAAGTAAGGGGCCTAGACAGCTGCCCTGGGGAATTCCTGATTCTACCTGGATTATGTTGGAGAGGCTACCATTAAAGAACACCCTTTGTGTTCTGTTATGCAGGTAACTCTCAATACACAATATAGAATGGGGTGTAAAGCCATAACATATACGTTTTTCCAGCAGCATACTATGATCGATAATGTCAAAAGCTGCACTGAAGTCTAACAAAGCAGCTCCCACAATATTTGTATTATCAATTTCTCTCAGCCAATCATCAGTCATTTGTGTAAGTGCCATGCATGTTGAATGCCCTTCCCTATAAGCATGCTGAAAGTCTGTTGTTAACTTATTTACTGTAAAATAGCATTGTATCTGGTCAAACAAAAAATTTTCAGAAAGTTTACTAAGGGTTGGTAACAGGTTGATTGGTCGGCTATTTGAGCCATTAAAGGGTGCTTTACTATTCTTGAGTAGCGGAATGACTTTTGGTTCCCTCCAGGCCTGAGGACACACACTTTTTTGTAAGCTTAGATTGAAGAGATGGCAAATAGGAGTGGCAATATCATCCGCTATCATCCTCAGTGACTGTATCATGAGGCTCTGCCACCTCATGATACAGTCATGACCGAAATTATTGGCACCCTTGATAAGATTAGCAAAAAATACTGTATAAATTAAGTAATATAAATACTGTTATATAAAATATGTATATAAATTGGAAAATTATATTATTTTATACGAATACAATTACTCAGAGAACTAGCTTAACAAGTATTTGTTTTTTTTTCTCAAAAAGATAGGGGTCAAAATTATTGGTACCCCTGTTTTCAATACTCCGGCACCCTCCCCTTGCGAGGATAACGGCACTGGGCCTTTTTCTAAAATGTTTTATGAGATTGGAGAACACATTGGGAGGGATTTTAGACCATTCCTCCATACAGAAACTTTCAAAATATTTTAATTCTTTCTTCTGTGCTTATGGACTGCCCAAACAACAGGTTTTCAATGGGGTTCAGGTCCGGAGACTGAGATGGCCATTGCAAAATCTAACAATTTTTTTGTGCTTGGGGTTATTGTCTTGCTGCCAAGTTTCTGCCTTCTGGTAGAGGCTACCAGGTTTTGGGCTAAAAGGTCCTGGTACTGGGAAAGTTCATGATGCCGTTCACCTTAACAAGGGCCCCATGACCAGTGGAAGCAAAATAGCCACATAACATCAAAGATCCAGCACCATATTTTACAGTAGGTATGGGGTTCTTTTCTGCTCATCACATTCTTCTAACGGCCCAGCTACACTATAGCCATCGGGTGTCCGGCATTGCCATCAGCCGTTGAGGAAATGCTTCCTTTGAAGTCAATGAAAGCTGCTTCACTGCCCGAGTTGCGTCACATCCAAGCTCAAGAATCGTCGAGGTTCAATTCTTGATGGCTGATGCAGGCACGTTCATTCTATCTTGTGAATTGAAATAATGATACACCACTGGTTATTTTACATTTTAGTAGACGCTTACAGTTAGTGAGTGCATACATTTTCATACTGGTCCCCCGTGGGAATCGAACCAACAACCCTGGTGTTGCAAATGCCATGCTCTACCAACTGAGCTACATGGGACATTTTACTAAGATTTATGATGTCAAGAAGCTACTACTACTAGCTAGCTAGCTACATTGACTAGCTAGGTTCACAATGTAAACAAAAGCAACTTGTGTAATTAGGATAATTTAGTACAACCACTAGCAACAATTTCATGAGTACTTGCGAAAAACTGGACCAAAGCTATTGTACTTACACACAATTGATGAATATGGTACAGTACAGTAGGGGAAAATAGAATAAAGATGCTCTTCCCCTCTGCTCCTCTCTCAAAACACATTGAAACAACGCTGATGGCAAAGCAACATGACACTCATAGTGGAGCTGAAGTGTTACATTGCCAAACCCACCACTGGTGTGTGGGTTTGGCGTCGAAAGAAGTGAGTACTCTTTTCCAGTCCTCAGCACTTTATCCTGTTCACATACAGTAAGATGCAACTTGTCCAAATACTACTGTGAACCCAGATAAACAGATTTCAATAAAATAAATAATGTATGTGTTCTCATGTTTGTTTCACTGTCTCCTTGCTGCAGACTTGGGCCATGTCCCTCTGGTAAAATAGATATTTATTGATTAATATAAATTTGACATGGCATCAAAAGTGAATCTATATTGTACCTATACCTTGACACACAGCAATGTTATTTCCCTCTTCCTCCCAATGTTATTTCCCCTCTTCCTCCCAATGTTATTTCCCCTCTTCCTCCAAATGTTATTTTCCCTCTTCCTCTCAATGTTAATTTGCCTATTCCTCTCAATGTTACTTCCCCTGAATGTCACTTCCCCTCTGATTGTAGGTGAGTTTCATCAATAAACGCTATGACAGAATCTCTGTTGGCAAGAGAATAGAATGATTGGCGCAGTTACATAAAAATCCCTGCACATCCTTGTACAGTCCCCACACAAATGACTGAAAAAAACGGCATTATTTATTACATTTTAGTCATTTAGCAGACGCTCTTATCCAGAGCGACTTACAGTTAGTGATTACTTTTTTTTTTTTTTTTATACTGGCCCCCCGTGGGAATCGAACCCACAACCCTGGCGTTGCAAACGCCATGCTCTATCAACTGAGCTACATCCCTGCCGGCCATTCCCTCCCCTACCCTAGACGACGCTGGGCCAATTGTGCGCCGCCCATGAGTCTCCCGGTCGCGGCCGGCTGAGACAGAGCCTGGATTCGAACCAGGATCTCTAGTGGCACAGTTAGCACTGTGATGCAGTGCCTTAGACCACTGCGCCACTCAGGAGTTATCTACCACATTTGGTTCAAGTAAACAAAGTCACATGACTTTAACAGCACTCATTTCATTCTGGGATGATCACTCTACAGACTTCTGTTGGTCATTTTTTCCCCACAAAGCCTACCATCAGTAACACACTACGCCGCCAGGGACTCAAATCCTGCAGTGCGAGACATGTCCCCCTGCTTAAGCCAGTACATGTCCAGGCCCGTCTGAAGTTTGCTAGAGTGCATTTGGATGATCCAGAAGAGGATTGGGAGAATGTCATATGGTCAGATGAAACCAAAATATAACTTTTTGGTAAAAACTCAACTCGTCGTGTTTGGAGGACAAAGAATGCTGAGTTGCATCCAAAGAACACCATACCTACTGTGAAGCATGGGGGTGGAAACATCATGCTTTGGGGCTGTTTTTCTGCAAAGGGACCAGGACGACTGATCCGTGTAAAGGAAAGAATGAATGGGGCCATGTATCGTGAGATTTTGAGTGAAAACCTCCTTCCATCAGCAAGGGCATTGAAGATTAAACGTGGCTGGGTCTTTCAGCATGACAATGATCCCAAACACACCGCCCGGGCAACGAAGGAGTGGCTTCGTAAGAAGCATTTCAAGGTCCTGGAGTGGCCTAGCCAGTCTCCAGATCTCAACCCCATAGAAAATCTTTGGAGGGAGTTGAAAGTCTGTGTTGCCCAGCGACAGCCCCAAAACATCACTGCTCTATAGGAGATCTGCATGGAGGAATGGGCCAAAATACCAGCAACAGTGTGTGAAAACCTTGTGAAGACTTACAGAAAACGTTTGACCTGTGTCATTGTCAACAAAGGGTATATAACAAAGTATTGAGAAACTTTTGTTATTGACCAAATACTTATTTTCCACCATAATTTGCAAATAAATTCATTAAAAATCCTACAATGTGAATTTCTGGATATTTTTTTCTCATTTTGTCTGTCATAGTTGACGTGTACCTATGATGAAAATTACAGGCCTCTCTCATCTTTTTAAGTGGGAGAACTTGCACAATTGGTGGCTGACTAAATAAAAATTTTCCCCACTGTACACGGACAACGGAACTACACGCATGTCCCTGAATCGAGAAATGTATAAGAAAGGGCTAAGGGTGCTTATCATTATTGACCATCATGCCAACACCACAAGCTTCAAACTTAAAGGAGTAGGAGTAGGAGTCTTAAACATGTGGTGATTTGGGTCATAAACAGACCTGTCTTTGTCATCACCCTTTAGGGCCCAAGGAGCCCTGAAATCTATGCTGCTCACCTGTATATGGTGTACTCATTGGGCGGAGCTGAGAGTGGGTCACTTCTGTTCCTCTTGCCAAAGTTACCAGTCCACAGAACTGTGTCGTTGAAAATCACAATGGCCGACAAAGAGGGAAGACTGGTAGGATTGACGCTTTGGCGCAGCAGTGTGTCCACCTGAGTGAGAACATAATATCAGTATTTACTGTATATCTAATAATATTAATTGTTCTGCAGTAGTTTCAGTAAACAATTAAAAGTTGGGTATAAAAGATTTGAAGGCATTCTGTGGACAAAAATATTGCCTATTGACTTGTTGTGATGGAGGTTAATTCAATGTCAAGGCTGGGCAGATGCTGAACATACTCTGTTTTTACATGGTCAAAGCAGTAACGTCTTACTGTATGCAGTGATCTTCTGTTCTGTATAAAAGATACAAGGAGTTCTAATGTGTTTTTATCATTCTGAGGACATTGTTAATGTCCCATGGAAATGTAATCATCCATAACATACTGCTGCTTGTACAGATGTAGGTTCTTAATTTGAGCCAGTTTGCTACAGCAGGAAATCAACCCTGTAGCAACAGGAAATGTGAATTATTATGTGGATTATAATTAATGGACATTTTTGTAGGGATTGAAACATTGTTTTTAAGGGAAAATCAAGTCTGAAATGTCAAAGTGCAACCGGGGGATCAAATTAATATCCTACATCTGTATTGAGATGTGCTGGGACTGATAGGACTGCCCTATTCTCTGTTTGTCAAATGCCCTTCACTGTCTGAATAATATCAATCCAGGAACTGGTCACGTCCACCTCTGTTGCCAGAGGCTTCATGCAAAAGGACACTTTCTTTATCAATTATATTTCTCTGCATGGTAATTCATCCCCTCATGTCTAGGCCATTGTCTAGGCAATTGTTATCAAGCATCACTAACACATGTTCCCTGTTCTTAGTTGGACAGGAGCATAATGTGGATAGTCTGTGAATGGCCCAAGGGAGCTCTTACCTTTTCCAGTGCCTCTTTCAGAGTAGGGATAGGGTGCTCGAGGGGGAGAGGCTCAGGGAAGCGTGGGCACATCCGTTCTGATTTGGCATTGCCTCCCATGCCCTCATCTGGCAGAGAGACAGAATAAGGCGAAATTAAGTGGGAGAGAAATTGGGGATTTATTGAAATTCATACCTGATATTGGTGGATTAATATACAATATGTATGACATGACAAGGAGATGAACACAATGTGCCATAATTGGCATGAACAGGACTTAATTAATCATCTGAGTTCCTTTATCTGTCCATTGTAGGCTACCACAAAGAATCCAATTTGCACAAACACATGCAGCCATAAAGGTGATTAATTCTGAACGCACTGTGAATTTTGAATGAGCAGTTAAAGGAGACTTTCATTTAAGTAACTACACAGGATTAGAGCTTTATAGTTCATAGAGTTACTATAGTAAACAGGCCCATAGGCTTACAGTATGTTCAGATCCAGTACCAGATCATACAGGCATGGTGTGCTACTGAAAGAATACATGTGTAAGAAGCATCACTTCAATTAAAGAACGCAACTCATCACACCTTTAGCACTACAGTAGGTTGGTTCCCTATGAACACTGTCTGTCTTTAACATTCTAATCTATTCACCACCTACAGAAAACAGCTAATTGGATTTCAGAATCGCATCTCAGACACTGGGCACAGATGTTAGTTCAACGTCTAGTTTTGATTTGCATTTGGTTGAGATGTCAACTATTGTGAATTCAATGTGAAATCAACAAAAAATGTCACCATGTCATTGAATTTAGGTTAAAAGTTAGGTGAAAAAAGACGAAATGCCCTCACATTGATGACTTTTTGCAATTATTATGAGTTTTTCACATTGATTCAACGTCATCACACTGGTTTTTGGGGTTGAAATTACAATGTTGATTCATCCTGTTTTTGCCCAGTGGTTAGCCTCATATGGCTCCCAGGCAAATAAATCCATTCTGAAGCAAGAACTACCATGTGTGTTGGAACTTTTTTTCCCTGAAACAATGGACTTCCTCCTTGATTTCTACAGGTTTCTTTGTGTACAAAATCTCCTATTGTATGAGTCAATGTTAATGCAGGGGAAGCAGGAGCTACTTGTAGCCTACTGTAACCACTGGTATAATTATAAGCTCTGATTAATCTTAACCCCTTTACCTCAGATACAATGTAACAAAGCCACAAGTGATTGACAGGCTGATATGTTTAGTGAATCGATGCTGTTCACTGTATAATATGATGAATTGCTTCATGTCCTGCCATTATTTTTAGTTTGGTTCTATGTTTTCTTGAACAAGGTTGAATGCAGGGAGTGAGCCTTACCTGGCAGTAACTTTGGCATCTGGTACTGCCACAGGAAACATCCTGTCATGACTAGAGAGAGCAACAGGAAGAACACCATGCCCAGCTGAGTCCACTTCACCTTCATCTTCTTGGTCTTGGTGAGCCCCTCTATAGCAGCAGCCGGGGCAGGCTAAAACACACACACACACACACACACACACACACACACACACACACACACACACACACACACACACACACACACACACACACACACACACACACACACACACACACACACACACACACACACGGTTAGGGATGGGCCTTTACAATGCTAAGAGATCCGCAGAAACTAAGGGTTTGATAATGTGACAAATGTACTTTCATAACATTAGTGAACTAACTTGCTGATTTACATACATAACTTAGATAGCAATCACAACCAAGACTACTTACCACTTGATGCTTTAAAAGGCAGGCAATATAATAAAACTATCTTTCTCTCACTGAATCAGCATCTGAACAATCCACTCAGCATCATGGAGAGACAACTCCCAAATTCCAATAGTGGTTGATGTTCTTCACTGAAGGTTTCACTGTACAGGGGTATGGCACAGACATGGCTTCCCATTCCTATATCTCCTCACTGGCCGTTCCATAATCCTTGCCATCAGCACTTCTCTGACAATTCAATTTCCTTTCCGACAACCACTGGCCTCTGACATCATAATCCACAGATTTACTCCACTAAAACCCATCTGAGCGGGAGGGGAAATCTTAATCTCTAATCCCCCACGAATCAATTCACTTCAGTCCCGTTTGCACCACTTTGGGGACGTACCAAGTAGTCCCTGCTGAAAAACATGGCGTCTACTCAACCCTTACAGGAGGAGGGCATGTTGGCCTTATGAGGCACCTTTAGCGGAAACATGAGTTGACAAGGAAAATCACATGGGCAGACGAAGTTAGAGCGCTCCAGTGGACTAATATGTTAACAGAGGACACTGACTGAGACAGCCTAGGAAGGAACACAATTATCTCTCTCTTTCCCATAGCTAACAGTCACGCAACACACACACTGTACACATGGGCTGCATCCTTTAAAGTACAACTTTGCATAGGGTGTATGTTCCATGGCTATGATTCATGAATTGAATAATTGATCTCTTCATGTGGCTCAGGCCTAAGGTCATTGTATCAGGTGTCAGTGTGCCAATCGTGGGCCTGAGCCTGCTGGGGGCAGACAGGGAGAAGATGAATGGAGTTTGTGTTTGCATTAGATTTAGCTCAATAATCAATAAAATAATTAATGTGCTTGTAATCAATTAGGAATTCATGTTTACCTGGTTGTATCTATTTCAATTTATTTTCATTATTTTAATCTTTCCTTTAATGTTTAAACAGGGATTGGCTGTTTTTATTAAATATATAATTGTGTTTTGATTTGATTTGATCAAACAGGGAATGAGCTTTCCTAAGAGAGTACGCAGAAATCAAAGATTTCAAGCACTCCTCAAGGTTTAGGAATAGGTAGAATTTATATAATACCGACATAAAAAACGTGTCTTACTCAGCAATTACCATCTCTTTCATAGAGGGGACTTAAGGTTAATCACATTTTAAGTCAATCATTCTGTGTTTCTACATTCAGCTAGATGATGCCTGTTTTATTAGCTGTGGAAGGCTGTGAACTGTAAAGTATTCTGATATACATACAGTGCATTCAGAAAGTATTCAGACCCCTTCACTTTTTCCACATTTTGTTGCGTTACAGCCTTATTCTAAAATGGATTAAATAAAAAATTTTCCTCATCAATCTAGACACAATACCCAATAATGACAAAGCAAAACAGAAATATATTATTTACATAAGTATTCAGACCCTTTGCTATGAGACTTGAAATTGAACTCAGGTGCATCCTGTTTCCATTGATCATCCTTGAGATGTTTCTACAACTTGATTAGAGTCCACCTGTGGTAAATTCAATTGATTGGACATGATTTGGAAAGGCACACACCTCACTATATAAAGACCCACAGTTGACAGTGCATGTCAGAGCAAAAACCAAGCCATGAGGTGGAAGGAATTGTCCGTAGAGCTCCGAGACAGGATTGTGTCGAGGCACAGATCTGGGGAAGGGTACCAAAACATTTCTGTAGCATTGAAGGTCCCCAAGAACACAGGGGCCTCCATCATTCTTAAATGGAAGAAGTTTGGAACCACCAAGACTATTCCTAGAGCTGGCCAAACTGAGCAATCGGGGGAGAAGGCCCTTGGTTAGGGAGGTGACCAAGAACCCGATGGTCACCCTTACAGAGCTCCAGAGTTCATCTGTGGAGATGGGAGAACCTTCCAGAAGGACAACCATCTTTGCAGCACTCCACCAATCAAGCCTTTATGGTAGAGTGGCCAGACGGAAGCCACTCCTCAGTAAAAGGCACATGACAACGTGCTTGGAGTTTGCCAAAAGGCACCTAACGGACTCTCAGACCATGAGAAACAAGATTCTCTGGTCTGATGAAACCAAGATGGAACTCTTTGGCCTGAATGCCAGCGTCACGTCTGGAGGAAACCTGGCACCATCCCTACGATGAAGCATGGTGGTGGCAGCATCATGCTGTGGGGATCTTTTTCAGCGGCAGGGACTGGGAGACTAGTCAGGATTGAGGGAAAGATTAACGGAGCAAAGTACAGAGAGATCCTTGATGAACACCTGCTCCAGAGCACTCAGGACCTTAGACTGGGGTGAAGGTTCACCTTCCAACAGGACAACAACGCTAAGCACACAGCCAAGACAACACAGGAGTGGCTTCGGGACAAGTCTCTGAATGTCCTTGAGTGGCCCAGCCAGAGCCCGGACTTGAACCCGATTGAACATCTCTGGAGAGACCTGAATATAGCTGTGTAGTGATGCTCCCCATCCAACCTGACAGAGCTTGAGAGGATCTGCAGAGAAGAATGGGAGAAACTCCCCAAATACAGGTGTGCCAAGCTTGTAGTATCATACCCAAGAAGACTCTAGGCTGTCATCGCTGCTAAAGGTGCTTCAACAAAGTACTGAGTAAAGGGTCTGAATAGTTATGTAAATGTGATATTTAAGTTTTTTTGTTTTATAAATTAGCAAAAATGTCTAAAAACCTGTTTTTGCTTTGTCATTATGCGGTATTGTGTGTAGATTGATGAGAAAAAGAAACTATTTAATCCATTTTAGAATAAGGCTGTAACAGAACAAAATGTGGAAAAATTCAAGGGGTCTGAATACTTTCCGAATGCGCTGTAGGACTAATGATGCTACAGAGAGATAGAACATGTTAAAGTAAGCTGGAGTTGATCCTGGTTGCATAACCAGCTGATGGCTGTGGAACACGCAGCTGTCCCATTTGGACAGAGTCAAGAGTTGTGGTGAGTAAGCGGCGCAGAATCAGATAAGCTCCAACGCACACACACACACATGACCTGCAGTCTCCCACTAAGGAAGTCAAATAAAATAAAATGGTATTCGTCACATGCTTCGTAAACAACAGTGAGACTAACAGTGACATGAGTACACAGTGAATAATGAATAACAATAATAAGTAAAAATAACATGGCTATATACAGGGAGTACCAGTACCTAGTCGATGTGCAGGGGTATGAGATAATTGAGGTAGCTATGTACATATACTGTAGGTAGGGGTTAAGTGACTAGGCAACAGGATAGATAATAGACAGTAGCAGTAGAGTATGTGGTGAGTGTGAAAGTATGTGTGTGTGTGTGCGTGCGTGTGTGCGTGTGTGCATGCGTGTATGGGTGTGTGTGTGCGTGTGTGAGTGTGTGTGGCATCAGTATGCTTGTGTGTGTGTTGTGTGTGTGTGGGCGTATGTAGTGTGGGTGTTTTTTGCGGTGTCAGTGTAAGCATGTGTGAATGTGTGTGTGTAGTGTTGTGTATAAGCCGTTACCTGCTGAGGCTGAACTCCATCCATAGACAACTCTCTCAGGACTTTGCTGCCTGTCTTCCCCATTACTCATGTGCATGAAACATGAAAGGATATCTACATCAGACAGGATCTTTTATTAAAGAGAGATATAAAGTAAAGACATCACTATAGATGTAATACATGTATGATGGATGTACAGTACATTAACATACTGTAGGTGTATGGCAAGACATTTAGAGGATAACTTTTATAAATCATTCAAGACATCCAATAAAAAATCAATGGAAAACAGAGCAAATTAAATAGATAAACAATAGATAAACATCAAATAATATAGTATGGCAGGCCTTATCTAAGTGAACATTGAAAGGGAGAGGAAAGGGGGATACCTAGTCAGTTGTACAACTGAATGCATTTAACTGAAATGTGTCTTCCGCATTTAACCCAATCCCTCTGAATACATCTCATCTAGACTTCCTATTTTTTTCTGAAAGTGTGAAGAGTGCAGATGTGCAGTCTGGCACCAGAAGATTCTCATTATACTGTAGCTGACAGTCACTCCTGACATTGCTCCAATACAGCTTCATGGATTGGGTGTTATTGTATGTGTGTGAGACAAAACTATGGACAGTTTGTTCGAGTTTCTAAATGATAGGCAGCAAAATAACCCTTCAGGTTGACCTGTTTATGATGCATATACAAAAGAGTGTACAACAGCGAGGTAACTTCTTGTTTGACTCACATATCTACACACACACACATTATCAACAGGCTGGGATGGGATGATTCACATTGGAATACATTAGGTTACATGCACAAAGAAAGGGCTTTTTGTACATCTTGTGCTTGCCAATAAAACACATAGCCTACTGCACTAAACAGTTTAAACCTTTTGCATATTGACTTGTCCCCAATTCAGCATGAAATCCTGTTGATGGCCAATATTGGTTTAACTACATATACTGTCCAGGCATTGCTAGAAATGTGTCCCTCTCCAGCGCTTTTAGTCAGCAGTTTTAAGGTGTTCAATCATTTATCTCTCAGATGTTCTACTTTAGTCTTGGTGAGCCCCTCTATAATAATTGAGTTATACATAATGTTTATGCAATTATCGTGCAAGCAGGATTGGCAGTAGCCAAGTTACAGTATATGATGTCATATTGATGTAACATCGATAACATAACGTGTTCAACAATTTGAACAAAAGTTCAGATTTAAAAGTAACACTTCAGATACTGTCGTTTATTTGACTGACATCATTCACAGATCATGCTTTGCATTCCAATTGAATATAAGTGAGTAGAGCGCTGCTCACTGAGAGGCTTAGGCCTATTCCTACAAGGAAATATAATGAACAGGACATGTGCACACCGTCTCACATAATCATATTCATGCTGTTGAAAAGATGAGCCCATTAAGGAGCACATGCGGAAGCCATGTAATGGGATGTTTACAAAGGAATGCTAAGCATTTTCTTTCTTGCTGCAGTGTTTTGATAGAGGTCCATTGTCACGCCCTGGCTCTGGGGACTCTAGTATGTTGAGCCAGGGTGTGAGTTTTCATTTGTTTATGTTCTAGTTGTTGTATATCTATGTTGGCCAGGGTGGCTCCCAATCAGAGACGGCTGTAGCTCGTTGTCTCTGATTGGGAGTCATACTTAGGTAGCCGTTAGGCATTCATTATTTGTGGTTTCTTGTTCCGTGTTGGTTTGTTTATGTAACCAGGGACGTCACGTTTCGTTTTGTTGTTTTGATCGTGTGATCATTCTAATAAATAAAATGTTCGCATTCAACGCTGCGCCTTGGTCCTCCTCTATGAATGACGATTGTGACAGAAGAAACCACCAAGATGTGACCAAGCAGCGTGTCCAGGAGCCATCGCCAGGGAGATCCCTAACAGATCTCCTTCGCCTCCTCGACTGGGTCAAGCCGAGTGAGGAAGAGAAGGGCTTGACATTGTGGCAGAAGGGCGAAAGGCTGGCGAGGGACATGGAGACCTGGTCCACGGGTAGGGGAGACGGCCAGAATTTTTTTAGGGGGGGGCTAACGCCGTGGACGACGGGCCAGCAGGAGACCGCGGCAGAGCGGCCCAGCGGATTGGCAGAGGAGGCCGCCAGGTTACGGGGGCCACTGGTCGAAGAGGGGGTGGAAGATGTAGAGGCACGGCGAGAGGTACTGGCATGTGTTGCCAGTCCGGTCCGGCCTGTTCCTGATCCCCACGTAGGGCCAGTGGTGTGTGTTCCCAGTACGGTCCGGCCTGTTCCTGCCACTCGCACCAAGTCTATGGTGCGCATCGCCAGCTCGGCCCGGCCCATTCCTGCTCCCCGCACCAAGTCAGTGGTGCGTTTCGTCAGCCCTGTCCGGCCCGTTCCTGCTCTCCGCACCAAGTCTGTGGTGCGCGTCGCCAGCCCAGTCCGGCCCATTCCTGCTCCTCGCACCAAGTCAGTGGTGCGTTTCGTCAGCCCTGTCCGGCCCGTTCCTGCTCCCCGCACCAAGTCAGTGGTGCGCGTCGTCAGCCCGGCACGGCCCGTTCCTGCTCCCCGCACCAAGTCAGTGGTGCGCTTCGTCAGCCCGGTCCGGCCCGCTCCTGCTCCCCGCACCAAGTCAGTGGTGTGTTTCGTCAGCCCGGCTCGGCCCGCTCCTGCTCCCCACACCAAGCCAGTGGTGTGCGTCGTCAGTCCGGCACGGCCCGTGCCTGTTCCACCGGTGGCGGGTCCGGCACCGGTCAGGTGCTGCGTCACGCCGGAGCTAGAGCAATCCGCTCCACCAGTGTTCAGTTCAGCTCTGGTCAGCAGGGCCAGACCGGACCAGGGGTACTTTGGGGGGTTAGAGAAGGAGTGGGGGTCATGTCCGGAGCCGGATCCGCCGCCGAGGCGGAGTGCCCACCCGGTCCCTCCCCTGTTGTATTTGGTTGGCGCGGTCGGAGTCCGCGCCTTTAGGGGGGGGTACTGTCACGCCCTGGCTCTGGGGACTCTAGTATGTTGAGCCAGGGTGTGAGTTTTCATTTGTTTATGTTCTAGTTGTTGTATATCTATGTTGGCCAGGGTGGCTCCCAATCAGAGACGGCTGTAGCTCGTTGTCTCTGATTGGGAGTCATACTTAGGTAGCCGTTAGGCATTCATTATTTGTGGTTTCTTGTTCCGTGTTGGTTTGTTTATGTAACCAGGGACGTCACGTTTCGTTTTGTTGTTTTGATCGTGTGATCATTCTAATAAATAAAATGTTCGCATTCAACGCTGCGCCTTGGTCCTCCTCTATGAATGACGATCGTGACATCCATGCCATTAAACATTGTTAATAAAGTAATGTACCCACTATTAAATTAATTATATGAAACTATGAATTCATACTTTAGTGATGGCTTATTAACCGTCAACAACTGAGTCACTGACTAGACATGCTACTGTAAGATTACTGATTTGTGATGGCAAAAGTAGGTTGTATAGTGTGTTCTACTTTCTATAGTTTCTATATATTTTTATTATTGTATAATTATTAATCAACTCACATACTTTCAATCTTTGTTGAGTTGGATTTTCATTTTCTCCTGGCAAAATGTCTCTGACAATCCATAATAAATGGCTTGAAATGTTGGACTCCTCAATTGGCAAACATGAGTACACCAGAATGCTAAATGTACAATGTTTTATTCAGACTGGCTATCTGATTAACGTTAATTCACATTTTAATCTAAATGTATTCATGTCTGTGTGCACTTTCACATTATCCAACCTCAATGTTCAAGACAGTATACTGATAATCGCAAGCAATTGTTGAGCAATAATTTACTATGTGAATAATAACCACATGCTCTATTGAATTATAAGAGCGTCTGCTAAATGACTAAAATGTAAATAAACCTCCAACTGCTGCACTGACTGAAATGCTCTGCGTACAGTGTTTATTTTTTAAAACACTGTAAACAGTGTTTTAGTTGTTTTAGATAAAAAATTATTTTCAAAGTCTACATCATGTACTGTATATCATCATGTACACATGTATCAACATAATATGATATGCATTGAATAAATATACATCTACTACATCCAATAAATTAGCACGATTTATATAAAAAATAGTATATATTTTTCTAGATTATGAAATATAAACATATAGCCCTTTTTACTGACAAACATTAGGATAACAAACTTTTCTTGTCGTAAGACACCAACAACCTTAGATAAAGTAGTTATTCATGTCCATAAAACATCGTAACCATTCAATTCTGCATGAACTTACCACAAATCCTGATTCTGGGTAGGTCTTTACCCTCTTTTACCAGAATGGAAATGTACAGTATTCCTGTGCTGTTGCTCTGTGTGTGTTTGGAAGATCACTGCAGCATCCTGACAGATGTTGGTATCATGGCCATGGCTAAATCCTTCTTGTACAAACACAGGATCTTGGATTAACTGCCACAGCCATCAGCGACATCTGCCAGGCTGGGAAAATGGGTGCCCCTGCAGTAGGATAATGTGCTGGAGGGTTAGTGTGTGAGTGATTGTGTATGTGTTGTGGGTTTGTTGGTGTGTGTCTGTCTGTGTCAATAAGTAAGTAAGAAAATGAGTTTCTAAGTGTGAGTTTTGTGATGGCTTAAAAGTCCACCCAATAAAGGGCCACTCTGGGCAACTAAAAGGGATGGATATTATGTCACAGTACCTGGAGAGTTCATGCCAGTCATTAGGGAAGCTTGTATGGTCATAGAATCCAGTGAGTTACAGGTGTTACTGTGTCACTGTAATGTAATCTGTTGAGCATTTCGCTACACCCGCAATAACATCTGCCAAATATGTGTATGTGACCAATAACATTTGATTTGATTTGATAGGGGAAAAGGATATGATCATTTCCCCCATTGATTAGACCTGTGAATTAAGCAAGACTGAATATGTAAAAGCAGTATACTCCTTGACTCAAACATCCAGTGGTTGTCATTTGGGATCCTGAAAGTTCATGTTCAATTAACATTTTAGAAAGTTTGTGGCTTATATGGATTGGATTAGTGTTATTCACAACAAACAAGCACACAGTAGCTACTCACGTCATGCAGAAACTAGAACTGACCCATTATGTTTCTCTTTTTGGTTATATGCCAGGTCTGACTTATTTATCCCTGTTGCTATGACTTTCGGTAGGATAAGAGAAATAGAGGCATCTGTTTGCAGGTCAGATGCATGTTAGTCAGTGCTGATGATGTCAGATAACAGACAACACATCAGAACAAACATGGAACTGAAAGGAATGACATCAGAAACTCATCCCATGACAATCTCTGACTTATTGTACATCTCTTGTAAATCATGTTTACGCTCTGAAATCAAATGAAAACCCTCTTGCCATTAAGGACAGGTTCCAGTCTTTCCTGTAACATGCCACACGTGGCTTGATGTCTGGTGGAAAAGGAGTGGGCTCAGTTCATGAGTACTAATCCAAGGATACAGTGACACTTGTATCTCATACCACTGGTGATATAAGAAAGTCTGATCTTTTTGATGATTGCATGTTGGATGAGATTTGTGGGATACATACACTACATGATCAAAAGTATGTGGACACTTGCTCGTCGAACATCTCATTCCAAAATCATGGGCATTAATATGGAGTTGGTCCCCCCTTTGCTGCTATAACAGCATCCACTCTTCTGGGAAGGCTTTCCACTAGATGTTGGAACATTGCTGCAGCTTCCATTCAGCCACAAGAGCATTTGTGAGGTCGGGCACTGATGTTGGGCGATTAGCGTTCCAATTCATCCCGAAGGTGTTCGATGGGGTTGAGGTCAGTGCTCTTTGAAGGCCAGTCAAGTTCTTCCACACTGATCTCGACAAATCATTTCTGTATGAACCTCGCTTTGTGCACGGGGGCATTGTCATGCTGAACAAACTGTTCCCACAAATTTGGAAGCACAGAATCGTCTAGAATGTCACTGTAGGCTGTAGCATTAAGATTTCCCTTCACTGGATCTAAGGGGCCCAGACCATTATTCGTCCTCTACCAAACTTTACAGTTGGCACTATGCATTTGGGCAGGTAGCATTCTCCTGGCATCTGCAAAATCCAGTTTCGTCCGTCGGACTGCCCGATGGTGAAGCGTGATTCATGACTCCAGAGAACACGTTTCCACTGCTGCAGAGTTCAATGCCAGCAAGCTTTATACCACTCCAGCCGACGCTTGGCATTGCACATGGTGATCTTAGGCTTGTGTGTGGCTGCTCTGCCATGGAAACCCATTTCATGAAGCTCCTGAAGAGCAGTTCCTGTGCTGACGTTGCTTCTAGAGGCAGTTTGGAACTCGGTAGTGAGTGTTGCAACCGAGGACAGACGATTTTTACGTGCTACACGCTTCAGCACTCGGCGGTCCTGTTCTGTGAGCTTGTGTGGCCTACCACCTCGTGGCTAAGCCGTTGTTGCTCCTAGACGTTTCCACTTCACAATAACAGCACTTACAGTTGACCGGGGCAGCTCTAGCAGGGCAGAAATTTGACGAACTGACTTGTTGGAAAGGTGGCATCCTATGACGGTGCCACGTTAAATAGCTGAATCCACTAATTTGAAGAGGTGTCCACATACTTTTGCATTTATAGCATATATTGCATTAGTGTTATAATGCCAGGGTTAAGACCAAAGCCTTTAATATATACATTAATCATTTGTAGCCTAGTTCATACAAATTATGTAGTACACTCTTAGAAAAAATTGTTCTAAAAGGCTTCTGCGGCTGTCTCCATAGGATAACCCTTTTTGGTGCCAGGTAGAACTATTTTGGGTTCCATGTAGAACCCTCTGTGGAAAGGGTTCTACATGGAACTCAAAATAGTTCTGCCTGGAACCAAAAGGAGTTCTTCAAAGAGTTCTGATATGGGGACAGCCGAAGAACCCTTTTTGGTTCTAGATAGCACCTTTTTTTCTAAGAGTGTAGTGAAACCGTGTATTTACATGGGAGTTGCATTGAAAGGCACAGTCAATCAAAGCTGCACTCATAATGAATTGTGCTTTTCCCTCACAAATTATATTTCAAAGAGTAAGAGATCAGTAAAATGACTCATCTCATAATGACATCATTGCAAACAATTTTCTCTGGGTTAGTCAGTCCACTGTTTCAGGTTTATTTGGACAGTGCACATTGGCAGCATCAACTGATTACAGTGCACATACAGTATGTGACTACCTTGATAATACAGAAAAATTATTCAATGATATTTGGGAACGATGACAATATCCCATGGCATTTCACCAGCAGCAGGAACATTTCTGATTATACATACAGTAATTTGATGCCAAATGATAAACATTTTGTCTAGAGATCATGAAGCAGCTGCCACTGCAACCTCTTTGTTGTGGCATTCAGTTGCAACAAGTCTGGAGACTCGACTAGTTTTTTGCCAAGGTACAGATAACTGCCAAAAATAAAGGAAACACCAACATAAACTGTCTTAAAGACATGCTCTGTAACTTTGGCGACAAGTAAGTATTTTTTAAACCTACCGCTTTGAGTTGGATGTGTCAATGTGTAGTTCATACATGCATAATCTATGAGCAGAATTACTGTTTTACCTCAATTAGCAAAGAAATCCCTAGTTTGAAAGCAACTGTTTTCTGGAAACTGTGCGGCGCCATTTTCCCTACATTTTCCCCCACTTGGGCCTACAATCTCTGGAACTCTATTGGAGGGATGCGACACCATTCTTCCATGAGAAATTCCATAATTATTATTTATTTATTTTTTATGGTGGTTGAAAATGCTCTCTCAGGTGCCGCTCCAGAATCTGCCATACGTTTTCAATTGGGTTGAGATCTGTAGATGGCCATCCCACTGGGCAAAAACGGATTTAATTAAAGTTGTTTCCACGTCATTCCCCAAAAAAAAAATCCAATGTGATGATGTTGAATCAACGTGGAAAACTGATTGGATTTGAAAAAAGTCATTAACGTTTGGTATTCTTTTTTTACCCACTTTTAACATAAATCCAATGACATGGTGACATTTTGAACTGACGTCTGTGCCCAGTGGGATGCATATTGTTTAGATTGTTTTCATGCTCATCAAGCATTCAGTGACCACTCGTACCCTGTGTATGGGAGCATTGTCATCCTATGGGGGCATAGCCATGGTAGCCAAAATATTGGCCTGCCCAGCATTTTTATACATGACCCTAAGCATGATGGGATGTTAATTGCTTAATTAACTCAGGAACAAAACCTCATTTACTGAAGTGTTTCCATTATTTTGGCAGTTACCTGTAGGTGGGGTTAGTTACCAGGGTGAGTAGTTCAATATCATTACAGCAGGCAGACATATGTGCAAAAGCCGCACCCACATTTATTTTGGTTGCAAAACACTAGACTCTGTATGGTGGAAAAGATAATTCACTTGCCAGCACCCTAAATCTTGCAGTTTGTTTATAAAATTAAGTTGGCAATCTCAAGGTGTAGGCCTACCACCATCCAATTTCCAATTGAAAAGGGAATAGATTGTTTGGAATAGATTTTCCTGGAAACGTGTTGCAGAAGGGCCTCCTCACAGCCTATGCCCAGTTTTCTAGTGGGACATGAATCACTTAGGTCATGCCACTCATGGCTGCTATGGCGATTTTTGACAAATATTTGTATGTTATTCAGGGAAATATCGTCTAGAGACATGTTGTATGAATGAATGTCAATGAGGTGGTCTTATATAGCCTCGCTTTTCAGTTTTCACTGCTGCCTTACCAAACTAGACATGATTGGGTCACTGAAGGGTGTTGTTGAAAATAAATGCAAAAGGAGATGCGATTAAATTGGGATATACTGCCCCCAAATGGATAAAAAATTATAGCCTACTGCAGAAAGATAGTTGAGAAAGGATCTGCTTTTTATGTAATTCGACTTCAAGTTATGCAATAAGTGATCCAGGAAACTGGAAAGTCAAATGAAACAGTTTGTATGTCATTGGAGCTAAATGTAGGAAAATTCTCTGACAATGTTTTATCTGAGATTTGTATCTCCCAATATAGAGCACAATCTATATGACATACACCATTTTCCTTTTCTGTGGATCTTATTGTATCTATGTTTACCTGCTCTCTTTGTGAAAAGTAACTGGTGCTACAAAAATAATTTGGCCCATTTCCCCATATGGAGGATAGGCCATGAACGACGCCCTTCCAGCGAACTCGACTTTTGGCAGTCTTCTCCATCTTGTTCCAGGACCACAAAATTCAATGGGCAGTGCAGTGAAAAACTTGATTTTCCTGTGTTTTATATATATTTCCACACTATGAGGTTGGAATAATACAGTGAAATTGTGAAAATTATGATAATGCACTTTTAGTGTAAGAGCTGTTTGAAAAGAATGCCTGAACTTTCAGCTTGTTTGGCTGGGTGGGTTTTTTGGACCAGATAAAAATGTTATCTGCTTCTA